AAAGCAATCAAATGTTACAATATTTGGCTATAAAACTTTAAAAAAAGGTATTGATCTTAGTGGTGTTACAATACCATCAAATGTAAAATCGATGAATATAGAATGTTTTCGGTATAGCGGTCGTTTAACTAGTGTTACAATACCATCGAGTGTAACATCAATTGGTTATCAATGTTTTTATTGTTATATTCGTTTGGAAAGTGTAACAATGACATCAAATCTAAAATCGATAACCAATAAATGTTTCTGTGGATGCATGAGTCTGAAAAATGTTACAATACCATCGAGTGTGACATCAATTGGCGAATATTGTTTTGGATATTGTGATAAACTTGATAGTATTACAATATCATCAAATTTGAGATCAATTGGTAATGAATGTTTTGATGGTTGCTATAATTTAAACAATATTACAATACCATCCAGTGTGATATCAATTGGTAATTGGTGTTTTTGTCGATGTAGTAAATTGAGTAGTATAACAATACCAAAGAGTGTTATATTAATTGGCAGTGGTTGTTTACTATCAAACACGGTAGTTCATCAAAATTAATTTAATAATTACATTATTACTTATTTGTTTAACTATTAATTACAAAAGTCAATACATAAAATAGATATATTGATGAAGTCAAAATCAAGAGTTGCGAAATAGAGGGGGTTCTAAAGCCAGCCAGCCGCTTTTACCCACTTTGGCATGAAGATATTTTGCCAAAAAACAATAAAACACATTTAATTGTTTTTTTACAAAAAAATCAAAAATAAATCATTGAAATATTTTTATTATAATCACACTTCAACACAAACAGGGTATTTTTGTAAAAAAAATAAAAATTGTAAATTGAATAAATAAAATATATTATTACAAGTAAAGTGACTTCCCAAGGTGTGCAAATTAGTTTAAAGGTGTGCAATAGGCTTCGCACCCGAGAATTTTATTTATTAATTTGCTTTTTGTAATTTATTAATTCAAGCACCAAAGGGTTGTGTGTTATTTAAAACAATTTAGTAACGAATAACAATTTTAATATAAATGTTATTTTTAAAAAATTTAGTCTTGCACGCCCTTTCCCTGTAAGAAAGACCAAAAATTTTAATTTGCACACCTTGAGGAAGTCACTTTACTTAAAAAATGTCCAACTATTATCTTACTAATTTTGAAATAATAATAAACCTCAGAATATAAATATATTACTCAAAATGTTTATTGAGTAAAATGTAACAACACATAAACACTGTGTTGTTTATACACCTATTTAAATTAACATAAACTTTTTAAAAAATT